CAAAAATATGAAAATAAGTAAGTAAGTAAGTAAATAAATAAATAAATAAATAAATAACAGAAGTTTTTTTAACAAATTCTATTCAGAGAACTAGTCATGTATTTTTGCGGGTATTCTGTGAACTAAATTAATGCAAATTCAAAAACTATTTTATAAACCTGTTATTTTAAGTCTTTTTTTTTTGTTTTGCATTAGCCTTGATTAACACACAGCCCAACAGCAAGTTTTTATTCTTGTAAATTCTTTATTTTTAAGCGCTGCAAACCCTCCTGACTGCGTGTCTTGCCAATTGTCTGAAGTGGCAAATAAGGTTAACATTTGTGTATAAATATTGATCCTAGCCCCGAGGCTTAGCTACTTCTGTGAAACCAGGCCCATTAAACCCTGCCCGGCAAACTGTTCTTTCAGATCTGTTTGTGTTTTCTGTTACTATTGAGTGAAACACAAGTGGCAGAGTTCAATTTGTCTGCTGAATATGATTGCTAAATGAAAACAGACTTCTCTGCAATCTAAGACGGCTCCTCTGTACTGTAAATTCCTTCCCCAAGTTCAGGACCGTGCGTCATTATTCGCCGCTCGCCCTGTACTGTCATTGCACCCCCACCAACCCCCTTCAAGCTGAAGGGGGAGATCGTAGACTCGGTGGTGAGGTGGAGGATTCTTGGCAGAAAGTGGCCAAAGATTTTATGCCAAGAGGGGAAAATGGAAACCCTTCTCTCATTTTCTTTTTCCTATAATCCAATGTTTTCAAGCCCTAGCCCCACCAAGGTCATTATAATCATAGCAAGTGGAAGGTAGCCAAAGACCCACCATTACAGCAAGGTAGAGAGCCACCCAGTCAGTCAGTTATTGGCTGACAGAAAGAGGGGAAATCTGTCTAGAAATGATCGCGACACCTCTCTATTTGAAATGTAGATCATCAGGAGAGAGGAGAAAAGGAATTCAAGGGTTCTTCACACACATGCTGGCTTGGAAAATTGACAAAAATGTGCCACTAGTGAAACCAGTCATGCCTTATAAGCACACAAACTAATCCATACCTTTTTGGAGTGAGCAATAAGGCAGCAAAAATTACGTAAACAATAACACAAGGTCAAAAAGAATGGCAGTTTTCACGGTGGCACCAAAGGTCATGTTTGCTTGTCAAAGTGAAGGCGCCATACTGTACCATGACCTCCATAGCAAGATTATGTAGCCTCAGACACACACACACACACATACAAAAGAGGACTGTGTGTTCACTTTCACATGTGCGTGCCATGCTCACACACTTGAAGAACTTCTTACCACGAGTTATGCTACAGACAACACCAGGCAGCCCGAGCCATATATCTAGGTTTGTGCTAAGATAAAGCACCCCCAGCATTAAACCCAGTGTATTAGCTTGGCCTTTTTCACCACAGATGACGAGATTTGAAGCTCGATATTGCGCTGGCTGGCTGGCTGGCACGCCACCACAGTGTTGTTGGCTGCATAATGAAAACACACAGACTGACAGCGGCTGGCAAGAGGTGACACTTCCATTCCAGAGTGGGAAGATCCAAAACAAAGTGCAAAAAAAAAGAGCTTCTGACAAATTCATACTTTTCTGTGACAGTTTGTTGACCGAGTGGGGAAACAACTCCTAAATCAGAAAAGACTTCCATTTAAACCCAGTAACAGGCCAAACACGACTCCAGTGGAGAGAGAAGACTACACAGGAGGAAAGAAGAGTGTTTGCAGAGTGATTTAAAAACGGTGACTGAAATATTGTTGGCTGAACAACAGAAAACATAAAAGCTTGTGTGTGTCTAAAGATATACGATGCTGTTGAAACAATCAACTTCAAGGATGAAAAAAATCTATGGCATCCTAATATGAAAATTGGTCCTATTTTTCACAAAAAAAATCATTCAGTTCTTTCATGATATTGCACATTTTTGTTCAAAGTAAAATATGAGCAAACATTTAAACTATAAATGATTTTTTAATTGGATATTCAATGCCATTATAATCTCTTCTGTGAATAACTAGTTATTTTTATTGTACTACATTAGAGTTTACATACCACAAAACAATTATGTGCCACTTGATGACACACACTGAGTGTTAATTTTATTTGAAGTACGTGCATTTCTCCATACAGTGAAGTACTTTCCTTTGTACATACAGTTTAAAATGATAGTCCTATCATTCCTTGAACAAAAGCATATTCTACTAATTTTTAACAATTTTTGCATTTCCTACATACAGTTGGCTACAGAAGCCATCTTGAATTAGGCCAAGTCCAAAAGTTTATCAGTTTTAATTGCATGTCTAATGATTACTTTCTGAAAGTTTCCTTAAAATCCATTCAGCAGCTCATAAGATATTTTGCTAACAAACAGAGCCCATTCCAATCATTTGGCCAGGTTTTCGATGCTGAAAGCTCAAATAAGATGGGCTCTGTCTCAGTTGTGAAGTTTGCTTTGCTACAGTCATCTCGAACGGAATTGACTCCAAAAACAAATCAGTTGTAGATGCACACTCAATGGCTACGTTCACACTGCAGGTCTTAATGCTCAGTTCCGATTTTTTGAAAAAATCCGATCTTTTTGTGTGAACGTTCACATTACATTTTAAATGTGACCTGCATCAGACCCCTGTGTGAACGCTACACAGCACTGATGTGACACGCATGCGCAGTAAAAGACGTGACGTCTCATCAGCCGCTTGTTTGTTTACAGAGCTAACATGGATGCTACATTTTGCGCATCGAATCGGAAGTTGTTGCTTAATCAGAGCCGATTAAATAATTATATGACCTGCTTCTTTAGTTCAGTGTTTATATCTGAACCTGCCTCTGACCGGGATGCTCCAGTGAAGCTTTTTTTTTTTTGAACGAAACTACGAGCTGGAAATAAAGTATCGACCGAGTATCGAACTTTAGGATCGATACTCTCTGCGACCCAGGCTGGACATGTTATTATCATACTATCTACGTGGAAAATGAAAAGTAAAAAGATGAAGCAACTGGACTTGTGTTTTGGAGCTGTAAACACATGGAGCTACAGATTTAAACAGCGTGACTTGAGGTTAGTGTCTTATCGATCCTTCACCCCCACCTCACTGATGAAAAAGTCAGATGAATGTAACATGAGCGTTCACACTGCAGTCACTTTGAAAACATCAGATATGTATCCGATTTAAAACCACATACTGAAACGGCCTGGGTCGGATTTGAAAAAATCGGATTTGTCTCGTTCAGACTGTCATAAAAAAATCGGATGAGTCAGATGGGTCAAAAAAATCGGATTTGGGTCGGATTTGCCTGCAGTGTGAACGTAGCCAATGATTAGTTTCGAAAAGATTCATCAAAACGTATCCAGTCGTCCTTGAGATATTTTGCTAACAGTGCAGGCAAATGAACACACGCGCAGATGAGCGGCGTTTAAGACGATTACAAATCACTTGCACGCATTTAGGACAACATAGTATACACTCCCTCAAATAAGTCTTGAGGCAAATTCATATTAAAAAATAATAAAACTGCAACGGCTTATTTCCATTATGCATATCATGGACATACTCAGTTCTGTGCAATCCATTCAGGAGACTTCCACACTTATTTCCCTGCACTGTCAGTCAATCACACACAGAGAACAAATCACTGTACCTACCTACTGTCACCTGGCTCCACGAGTCTGCTTCTACAACCCCCCCTGCAAGTTCAGCCTCAGGTCAAACACCTGACTTCTGCATTAACTGCTACATTATCAGCAGCAACACCGAACAGCTGCTGGGATGTGACATTTATAAAAATGAAAACGTAACACAAATGCATCAAGCTCTTTATTGATTTAGCCACGAATCACTTACTTATTCATTACATTTACATATCAATGTGACTAATTGAGCCCAGTTGCCCACGCAATGAAATGATTAAGAGCAGGGGGGGGGAACGTCACTTTAATAATCACTGTCATTGCCCACTAACACCTAACGAGGAATCCTCCAGCGGCCGGGGTGTGTTATTGCAGCTTTTCATTATCTGGACTGATAAAAGGAACAATATCGAAGACAGGAAGGGTCAAATGCACAAAAGTAAGGCAACCACCGACTAAAATAAACTATCCGGGAAGTATATTAGTTGTTCTTGTTGTTGTGAGTAGAGTAGTGGAGCTGAATTTTCCTTCTTTTTTTTTATTTACCTCTCTAGCCGCGTTATTGATCGTAGTCTGTCTGCAATGAATGGCTGCAAAAGGAGAGGGGGGGGGAGAGAGACCCTGAACTTCAGGTGACCGACCATGGCTCTGACATAGCCTTCGTGTTGGCAGGGAGCGGTGAAAAAATAAAATAAAATATCTTATCACACTTTCCCCTCCTCAAAGTCGACAACAACCACAAAATCAGCCAATTCGGTTCCGCGACGCGCAGCAGCAAAAACTGAGGCGAAAGTTTAAGAACGAATATTGCCGAGGAAATGAAGTTTCGCCGAACGCTGCTGCTGTGATAGCGCCATGCTAACTCGGAGCACCGGAGGTTTCATGGAGGACCGGTGGGGGGTGCAAGCCAGACTCTAGCTCGTCTGATCCGGCTGACCCTTCGTTTTATTGCGGCCAGACTCCCAGAACCTCCCCCTTCTCTTTTTCTACCCGAAAAAAAAGGAGACCTCCAAGAGGCGAAGACATTAGCGACCAAACCTCGGCCGTAGCACCGCACGACATTCGCCAATTGACCGCAACCTTTTAGCGGAACAGCGGACCCCCCCTTCTTTTTTTTAAAAAAAAAATCTGCTCTTTATTAAAGCCACGTATCTTTTATCCACTCACTCTGCCTCACTAACATCATCCATCGCCAACAACATGGCTGCCTCGCTCGGACATTAAAAAAAAAGAAGAGAAAGGGAGAAATAACCGAACACCAAGTCTTTTGTCCGTTTCACCTCTATAACCCTAAACTACTGCGCAAAACACACGGAGCTGTTTTTATGAGCGGGTGAGGGGGAAAAAAATGCACACACATCGAGTGGAACGACTTACGTGAAGGCAGGCGCTTGGGCTGCTCCTGCTTCCTCCTTGGCATTTTCCCCCCGTTTTTAATCACATTCTCGTCCTTGTTTGGGGGTAAGAAGAAAGAAGGTTGTTTCCCATTGAGACCGGAGGCGCCAGTGATGGCAGGGACTCGGTCGTTGCACCTGGCTTTGCTCGGTTTTAAAGTGTATTGTTAGGAAGAGGGAGCGGGGGGCAGAATGGCCGGGAACACACGGGGCGGAGGAGGTGCCGCTGTTGTTGTTGCCGTGTCTTGACTGTATGGCCGCTCTCGGTTTGCAAGTGTGTCTCCGAGCCCCTAACTAACACTAATGCAGGGATCAAAGGGCAGCAACAGCAGAGCAGCAGACACGCGCGCGCGCACACTCACTCACTCGCTCGCTCGCTCACTCACGCGCTCTCTCTCACTCACACACAAACACGCACTCTCGCGCGCTTTGGAAGGAGCTCGCCCCCGAGAGCAGCGTGCACGGACAAGGTGCCCCCAAGCTTTCAGAGTCTATTACTGACAAGAAAATATAAAACACGAATTTGATGAAAATGTTCGACCCAAATGAAATAGATTTTAAACGAGATTATATTTAAAACAGCCTAGCATTTTAAATAAATTATGCAAATGACGCAAATCTAAGCTCTTATTCCTGGTAAAGGCAGAAAATACAAATTTCTCCAATTATTTATTACACTATTTAAAGGCCTCGCGTTCTTTGAATGAATGCAATATTGCCCGCCACTTTTCATGGCAGAGTTTTACTCTAAAATTATTTTGTGTTGAGAAATGGTTGAACCCAATGCACAATATCATCTGATATCACGTGACCTGTAAACATTATGTGTGAATAACTCGCAGCTACTACCACACCAAATGTGATTTATGTATAATACACTGAGTTATGAACTTGGTGCATAAAAAGATTGCTCACGGCAAAATATTTGCCGTAAAAGCAGAGTTGTGAAGTAACTAAGCACAAATACTTTGTTACTGTACTTATGTAGAAATTCTGGATATCTGTACTTTACTTGAGTAATTTTTTTCAGCCTACTTTTTACTTCTACTCCTTACATTAAAAAAGGCAAAAAGTAGAAAGTTATTACTTTTATTTCACTTTTGCTTGTTTTAATTTCAACTTGTTGTAAAAATAAATACTATCCATATAAATTGTTCCTCCTAGGTAGAGTAAATTTAATTGTGGTTGACCGAGCAGTATAAATATATAAAATTATGATACTGTATTAGTTTGTACACAAACAAATCATGTCACACTCCAGCAGGACATAATCACTGAAATAAAAGTACTGTACTTAAGAAGTATTTGAATTATATTATTGCATTTGGCCGCAGCACTCAGATAGATTTTCATATAGGAGATAAGGTTTGTGCAGCCTTGATATATGTATATAAACTGAAACAGCTGGACTAGTGCATTCTAAATTTAACAATTAATTATTTTAATACAATATAGTCATTTCTACATTTTTTGGGGAGGTCAACTCCTAATAAATGTCATTATAGAAAATCTAACTGCTCATTTTAAATCAATACTTTTACTGTTAATACTTAACTACAAAAAATATCAGATACTTTAAGACTTTTACTCAAGTAATTTTCCTAAAGGAGACTTTAACTTTTACCAAAGTAAGTTTTTGGACTCAAGTATCACTTTGTGGTACTTCATACAACACTGTACAATAGTGAATGACAATAAAGCACAAGTCTGCAATTGGAATAAAAATTCTGTGTCCGTTAGCAAAATATCTTACAAACCACGTGACGGGTTTTGATGAAACTCTCAGAAAATAATAATTTGACATACATTTATAACTGATTAACTTTTGGAGTTAGCCCAGTTCAAGATGGCTGCCACAGCCAACAGACTTCAGCAAACATTAAAAAAGATTATAACTCAGCGTGTTTTACTGATATTAAACTAAGCTTTGGTAGCTGAGTTTTCTCTCCAATATATACTTAAACTACAACACAGTACTCAATATGTTTATCTAAAACTTTGTCATTAACTAATGATGTCAACCATGTCAGTCTGAAAGCAAAATTTATCATGAACCTCTGGAGGAATTTTAATTAGATGTACATTTATAAATGATTTAAATTTGGTGTTACCCTAATAAAAGATGGCCACCACAGCTAATCATAAAAAAACCATAAAAATGACTGCAACTCAGTCACTTTTATAGATATTACTGTATGTATTCATGTATAATACGATCATCATTTTTTGAGCTTAAAAAGCATAAAAAATCTATTCATCAATAACCCCCCCACACACACACACACACACTTTATGGATGATTTTTAGGGTTACATTTCTAGTATTATACGTGAAAAAATACAGTAACTTCAAACCTAGTGTGGTAGTGGCTGAGAGTCATCCTCAACTTGTTCTTTAAGCAGCGTCACGCTTCATAACCTCATTTACAAAGTTTGAGCAAATGAGCCATAACTCCGCCCCTTCTCAGCATAAGATGACTTTAGTTTAAAACTCTGATGTGAAAGCTGGCAGGTGATATATACATTCCTTCATAAACGTTAGGCCTTTAATGATTTCATGGGTTGATTTACTTATTTATGTCCATCCCCTCCTACGGATCCATTTGTCACACATAGCGTCCCTAAATCCCAAGCTATTTAATTAAAAACTGCCTGATTTATTCTTAGCATTTGTCTATAATAGTAGCAGTTAAAAAAGATTAAGAAACACTGTGTGGGATCCAGGCAATAACAGGTGTCTGTGTCAGGAAAGAAATAAAAAAAAAAAAAAAAAAAAAAAAACAAAGACAGAGTAATTATTTAACCAAATGTAGTAATTTTCTCCTCGAAGTTTTTGGAGTAGAAAACCTGGCCCATGCTTCATCCTCCTCCCTCTCAGCTGGGTGTTGGGGCTCTTTCTCAGCGCAGGCTGTCCCCCACTCCCTGCTGTTGGACTCCTCCAGGCTGCGTTCTGTTGGCCTGCCGCGTTCTTTCACACCTCGGCCCGCGTGTGAGGAGAGCTGCGTCTTCATCCCTCCATCCTCCAGCTCTCCTCCTGCCATGCCTTCCACCCACCCCCACCCCCCCAGCGGAGGCGCAGGAGGCTCGTTACCGTGGCAATTAGTGAAAAGCCCAAATTAGCCCTCTTGGCTGTCCACAGGTGACAAAGACACTTTGCATTTCTGCTAATTAGGAAACAGAACAACATGATTAAATGGGGGGGCCTATCAGGAGGAGAGTGGACAAACATGTTCCACAAATAGCAGAGAAGGATTTATTATCGCGTCTCCTCCAGCATAAAATAATCAAGACGTTCCTGTTTTCTGGAGAGGATGATACCGGGCGACAGTACAGAACATTACAGAGGTTTTACTGTGGTTTGATGCAAACACCTGTGTTTCTCACCTGCATCCGCTGACGGACAGTTTGTTGACAGGTGCTCTAAGTAGATAGTGCATCCACTGCTACCAGCAAATAAAAAAATAAAAAAGGAAGAATTCTGTGACATTGCTTTGCTTCTTGAGGATTGATTGTTTTTATTGTAAAGCACAATGTAACAAGATTTTCTATTCAGCTGCATCTCAATAAATTAGTCACAAATTGAAAACCTTCTCCTGTATGCTGAGAAAAATACAATCTCAAACATACTTTTAGCTCGATATTCTGTAAAACAGCAGAGAAAACTTAATTTGATCAATCTTGCTACTTTGGTTCGTGCATATTGATAAAATCATAAATGTGTGTTCCTTAATGTGTTTGAGAAATGATGCTGAAACAACATTCCTCTGCTAAAATCATCTTTTTCAGTCCATGCAGACTGGTTTTAAGTATCGCCCATTGCAGAAGTGGAAGCAGTCTCTGTCCGTGCAAGTGTTTGTTTGTCTGTTAGCAAAATTTCTCATGAGCCAAGTGACAGATTTGTTTGAATCTCCCAGAAAGGAATGCCTAAATGTATGTCTAAAGATGATTAAAGTTTGGAGACCATCACTTTCAAGATGGCCAGCATAGCTAAGAAATATTGACAAACACAAAAATAGCCAAAGCTCAGTCAGTTTCACAGAAACTGAGCTAAAGTTTGGTGTGATAGTAGATGACTGTCAACCCAACAGACACACTGAGGGCTACAACCTGTGCTATACTTTTGCTTTAAACCTTGGTCATAACTTTGACATCAACCTTGTTTGACTGTTAGCAAAATACCTCATAAACCACTGGATGGATTTTAATGAAATTGTTGGATAGTAATTACCGGCTCCACATCTACAACTGATTAACTTTTGAAGTCAACCCAATTCAAGATGGCCACAAACCAACCGATTCCTGCATAAAACTGGCCACACCTCGGGGATTTTTACAGATCTTGAGCTCAAATTTGGTGTGGTAGTAGCTGAGAGTCATTCCCAACACATACTTTAAACTTTAAGCAAGAAAGATGTCAGCATTATTTTCAAGGTTTAACCAAAAATAGGTCTGACTCCATCATGAAAGGCGATTTGTGAAGGATGATATGCATTTCTTGAATGCAGGTGGCATTAACGGTCACCACACTGGAGATCATTAATGACAGCAAACACCATCAGATTCATTGTCTTCTTTCAGATACTTCACTGTAGACACATCTCCATTTGCTGCTTTCTTTCCCACTAAACATTTACAGTCCGGTGCAGATAAGCCATGCTAGGATACTAGTGTTTGTCTCTGTGGTGTTTTTGTTCCCCTGCTAGTTTGGTCACTTCGGGAGGTCACAGCCTGTTCTCTGACCCTGACGATGCCAGGCGGTTGAGGTAATGCGAGCAACAGGCCTGCTGATAGTCGCTATGGCAACAATGGCATGACCTCACTCCGGCTTGAACCTAAAGGTCAATCCTTAATGCTCCAGGGACGAGTGCTCCAGCTGTGTTGACACAACAGCTCTCATGGTTTCACCGTCAGAACACATATTGTTAAATAAATAAATTATATATAGTTACACATTACTGTGAAAAAGGTTTAAGCCAATCCTAATTTTTACCTGCTTTGCTTTGAAGGAGTTGAACCTTTTAGTGGTCTTGATCAGTAGCTCTTTAGTTTTTTTTTAAAAGACTTTCTTTGGACTTTGTCTGCTTTATTTTCTGTCCAGTTCTTGTAACTGCAGTGTGGGCTTGAATACTGAGAAAATGAACAAGTGGATGACAAAATAAAGAATGTGTCAGGCAGGCCCAAAGACGAAAAATTAATTAAAGGGGCAATATTATGTGTTTCTCAAGCATATGTTTCAATACTATACCATAATAATGTATCTATGTCACCTTTAGTTGTTATCAAAATGCTGTTTTTATGTTTCAATAGAAAATAAATTTATCTTCTCATCACTTCCTCTTCTAAACGCCTTGACATTGGCCTCTGTCTCTTTAAGAACCACCTTCTGCTTCTGTCCTGTCCAT